GTCGAAACGTCGCCAAAATACTTCCAATTTTACGCAGGAGAAAACCCAAATAACCAAAGATCCATATATATATGTTTTAGAATATTTAGTATATGTTTTAGTATATTTAGTATATTCTCTATTCTCAAAATCGAGAAACACCCCCATAACATGAATAAACGAGATGATACCTCCCACCTACCAGACTTCTGGAAACTAGCCCTCACCAACAAACGAGTCCCAGCCACGAAAACCAACACCAGGCCCAAAACAACACGGGACACTACCACCAATCCCCCTCATCAGACGCAAGCCCAAACCTATCCTATAAACGAAGGACAACCACCATGCAGAAGCCAGACTACGGCTGCTTTGCCAGCTGTCGCATCCGCCCCCGACCCCAAAACCAAACAAGCTGACACACTCCAAGAACACAGACCCAGACCCCAAACTCGTAGGCAGACCAAAACCCAGAATGCTACACCACAGCCACCTGCTCAGTATATCACATCAGAAAACTCAGGAAATTATACCACAAGAACTCAAGAAGTTGCAACACAGCAAATGACCCAGGAAATCACAGCACAAGAGCAAGGATACCACAGCAATAAAACTCACAAGGTCATCACACAACCCATTACCCAAGCCATTACAACACAGGAGGCTAATGGAAAAGAGATCAAAACACAAACGACCCAGGAGATTACAACGCAGGACCCAGGATACCACAACAAAAGAACTCGCAAGCCCATCACACAACCCATTACCCAAGCCGTTAAAACACGAGAGGCTAATGGAAAAAAGATCACTACAAAACAAACGACCCAGGAGATTACAGCACAAGATCCAGGATATCTCCACAACAAAACTCACAAGGCCATCACACATGCCATTATGCCAACATCAACCAATCAAGAGGCAGCAGCGCAGCCAACCAGCCCAGCACACCAGCACCCACCACCAGTATTTATAGAGAGACGGCAGCTGCGATCACACACTGCTTGCACTGGCACGAAGCCGAAAGCACCAGCCTAAGGATGTCGAGTGAGACCTCGCCAAAACGTCGCCAAGATACTCTTAATGTTACATGGGAAAAGACCCGAACACACCTAGACCTACACACACACACACACACACACACACGTACATTTGCATTATTGCTTTTAAAAAATACTTTCAGTCATGGGGTTCAAATCTGATTTTTCCCTGTAGTTCCTTGGGTGGTTCTATATCATCAGTAAAGAGTCAGGTTACCTGAGTAATATTCCCTAGTTGGAAGAATCCTTTGGGCTGAAGTGGGCAATCATTATTATCTGTTTGTCATGATTGTGAATTTCAAGGAAAATCCAAATGAGTACTAGGGAAAGAGGTAGTTTATTTTTCTTGTACTGAATTTTGTCAGTCTGAAGACAAATGTGGAGCTTATAAACCACAGAGCTAAACAGGTTGAATTACAATTAACTGAATATTAAACTACAAAATGCATGTTTTAAAATATTTGCTTCATTCCTTATAAAGACATGGGAAAAAAATCAAAACTCAATTCAAAACAGCTTCTTTAAAAATAGAAACAGACTTCAGATATAAAATGGTTTAGGAGAGAACTGTTGTGATTAATGTGAATGTCCTTCGTATAGGTGAGAACGACTGCTCCCGACAAGTACAGAGTAAAGCCAAGTAACAGCAGTTGTGAACCTGGTACTTCAGTAGATATTGTTGTATCTCTTCATGGTGGTGAGTAACAAACTGCATTGCTAGTTACATATAGAATGCAATCATTGTCTAATATACTTTGCCTTGAGAAAGTTGGTAATTTTTGTATGAGTTCTGGAAAGAAGGTATTGTTGAAATCAGATCGTCTATTTAAATTTAAATGGCAGCTTTTAAGTTCTGCCTTAATTAAAATAACTCAGTTCAATTATCCACATATTATGTTTGTTTGGATGGGAGAAGAAAGAGCATCAAAACTGCTCCTAATCTTGAAATAAAGTAGCCAGAAAATGGTAAAATCTAAATTCTCAGTCCTTTACTTACACATTACTGTCTTCTAATACTTTTCTTAAAATATATCCAAAGTTTTTTCGCTTTCATAAAAATAAACTAATTTTTCATGCATTTTCAAGTTATGAGCTATTTAAAACCATTTTAAATTTGAAAAACATTAAGCTTAGAAAAATAAATTTCGTTGTACCCTAGAATTTAATTTACTAAATTATGCTAATGCTGATTAATATTTTAAATATCCTTCATTACCATATAGTATACAAAAATATAAAATAAGTGCAAATGTGCCCTGTTCATTTTTAAAATGTATAGCAACTTGATTTTAGTTGGAAGTATTTTACATGTCTTTCTCATTGATAAATTAGTGACTAAAATTATTTAGGACATTATAATAGCAAAATAAATAAAATAATTCAGTTAAACCGCAGGTGTATTTATTCTAAGTAGATTTCTACACTGAAAATATTGATATTTCAATTAACCTAAAAATTTTGAATGTAAGTTACGTTACTGTCCATCAGTCTTGTAAGATCATCCACTCAGACTATTCTTTCTGAAGTTTCCCACCTGGCTAAATACATTGTCAAGTTTAGAGTCCATAAAGTCACAAGAGTTTTGTGAAATTTGGGAGTTGCACATTTGTGTTGAGTATTCACTGTGTTACATTTGTTGAAGTAAATTAACCATGTAGTACATAGTATGTACACATCTATTAAAATGTAATATTTCCCCATGGGCTATTGATTATATCTAAATGAAATACAATAATTTTTATTAGGCTGTCTGTTGGTTGAATAGGTTGTGCAGCTTCTTTGCAAGACCGTTTTCTAATTTTGGCAGCAGAAATGGAACAATGCTCTGGAATAGGAGCACAGGAACTATCTCAATTTTGGAAGGAAATTCCTAGAAACAAAGTGATGGAGCATAGGTAAACATTTTATATTGACTTTCAGATTGACATCATTATATGGCTTCTTCTAGAATGTTTTCTTCTCAATCAAACCTGACATTTCCTGGTGGTTTATTGTTCAAGTATTAACCAGACTGAATCTTACTTACCTTCTAAGACCAGTCAAAATTGGCTAAATATTGCAAAGCTAGTTTTGCATAAAATCAAACGTTGTAAATTGCTAAACAAAAAAACAAAACAGTGCCTAGAGCTGTAAACAGTTCAAATAGAAAAAAAAAGTGGTCTTTTTCTTGGCTCAGCCAAACTTTTGGGAAAGGAGGTATTTCTATGTACAAGTATATCCTGTCAATAAACATTCTGCAGTTTCCTTTTCGTCTTGTCTGTTCTTATTGCATTTCAATGTCTACACTGTAGAAAAGAGAAGCCAAGAAAATTCAGTTAATTGTTTTCACCTCATCAGTTTGTCTTGCTCACACTTGTACATATGTTTTATATTCATTGAGTTTATATTCATCAAGTACATTCCTTTACAAAAAGGAATATTTCTGTTTTGTGCAATGTCTTGCCCCATTCCGATATCCTGCTTGGTATACTGGTTCAGTGGTAATTTGATTTTCTGGATGTTCTTCTGTTTGATTTTAATGCCATAGAGTATTAGGGGGAACATTAAAAACATCATAAATATATAAAAAAATTAAGATAAAAAATGGAAACCCAGGGAACAAAACAACTATAATTCTGTAGAACTGAACCCAAAATAATTGCTTTCTCTTTCAGGTTAAAATGCCATGTTGTAGAAAGTAGCAAGCCTTCTTCTTTAACCATAAATGAAAATGCCTTTAACAGTCCTTCAAAAACCAATGAAGATTTACACTTTCAGGTAACACATATGACTATTATTATTACTTTTATTTCAATTAGGCTACCATTCCTTAAGTACACCATAGCTAGAGAAATAAAAAAATGGGATTTTTTTAGTCTATCCCCCACCCACCAAAATCTCTTGAAAAGGCAGGCTCCCAAAAGCTGTTGACGTTTCCAAAGTGCTGACATAGTAGAAAATCAGCTGCTTTCCAGTACTATATATTACATGCAGACACATACAACTTTTAGATTTTCAGCTTCCATTCTTAATTAATTTCCATAAGATTAGATATATTTCTATAAAATTTCATTCTTAAACATAGGTTTATATTAAAACATAAAAACTGCCTCCCTGTTCACCTTGAAATTGATTTCCCCCTGAAAGTAACAGATTCTTTCTAAGACGATTGAATGTTCAAAACATGCATTTTCATTCACACATACACTGGTCTTTATTATGAAATTCAAGACTTTCCTGTAGGCCTCTTTCTTTCTTTGTATGAACTGAATCCTGTAACTTCACTTTTTAGATAAAACAACAGAAACTTAGAAGAACCATACTTTAAAAAGTTTTGATCTTAGTCACATTTACATGAGGAACCCTTAAAACTGATCTTTTCTGTTACATTTGATTTTGTAGATTTTTTTTCTTTTAAAATGAAACAATAATTCTGATATACAAAATTAAAATCAATACATCTATACTTCCAAACTAGTTTTTTTAATATATTCAAACCATTAAATTGTAAAATTGTGCCTTTCCTTAAAATACTTTTGATACACGTGACTGAAATACATTCTTTTGTTTCTTTTATAGTTTGGCTTATGTGTGTGATTTGGTGGTTTTAAAAAAGATTTACAATTGTTTCTAACTATTTATATCCCAGCTGTATTGTATGTTGGTAAATTATAGACAAAATCAACTGGGAAAAATACTTCTTTTTGATAACATCTTCTATTTGTCCCTTTTTTTTCCAGTTAAAGCAACTACTACAAGCTAATAAAAGACTTCAAGGACAGATTGATCGTTGTGTCTGGTTCCAACAACTTACACTTTTCTTAGTCTTTATCCTAGTCACTATTGTTTGCTTCTTTTTGTTGTGTGCTCCAGGAAGCTAAATATAATGTCACAACTATGCAATTGTGCTGTAAAAAAGCAAAGAACCAGTATTACACGATTGGCCCTGCTTATTGGCCAAAAGTGAGATCTATTTAGGTTTTCTTACAAAATAAAAAAAGGAATAATGTGATCTTTGCCTTTAATCAGCAAACATGATTTTGTTAATTTATTAATGTTAAAAACGAGGTAAGAATCTTTCCACTGGACACCATACTAACTTACAAAGTGAAAATATAATTTTCTCTTTATATCTGTCATGCTTAATTTTGTGAATGAAATGTAACATTTCCTTTAAAATGTAATTGGGGAATAGCAGACTAGAATTTCATTTACCATAATGTCCCGGTATCAAGTACCATCATGGCCCATGAATGTACAGTTTAAAACTGAAGAACTCATTCCTAATTCTTATTCATATCTTCCAAAAATATTACAACTAGTTTACACTCAACTATTTGCAGTCAATATAGCCCTATTACCCAGAAGTGGCTACCATAGTTCCAAAGATATTCTTATAAGACTCTTGTAACTTGTTTCACATAGAAAGGTGCTATATACAGTACTATGATTTCAGTATACTTTATAGTGAAAATATGTCTGCAAAATAACAGTCACACATTGATCTCAATATATCCTAAATACATTTTTAGTAATCTTGGGATAACTGGTAGAATATCATAAATTATGATTCCTACAGTTTGGAATGAAAGATAAAGACATACATACATACATACATACATACATACATACATCATTCAGCTTAGTTCGGGGAATTTTACCACGTCATTGTAGTTGTGCTTTTAAAGTTATAGCAACATTTCGGCAGAATCTCATCTGCCATCATCAGGCTTCTGTAGTATATGAGTATTCTGATGGCAGATGAGATTCTGCCGAAACGTTGCTACAACTTTAAAAGCACAACTACAATGGCGTGGGAAAATATGAAAACGCATAATTTTGAAACATTTTAAAACATGAATAAATATCTCAAATATTCTTTGCACTTAATTAGGCTCAACATTTTATGAAAATTAATGGAAGCTTATAAACATCCATCAGCTACCCACATTTATTAATGTGGAATCATTTAGTTCTTGTCAAGCTGAGACAAATGTAGATATATGGTTCAAACAAGCCTTAAAATCAGTTCTGAATGTTTTTGTCATACTGCAAAATACTGTAAAACAGGTGGGACATGATGGCCCCCACCCCTGCAAAACATAAATCTAGAGCATATCATATCTAAGAATGTCTCATTTGCCATTATGCAAATGAAGTAAACATTTGTGCACAGAGATTTTTATTAGGTTGTCAGAGTATTCCTTTATTATTTTAAAAATCTCAGATTACCCCAAATTCTCCATATGTAGGGAAATTATTGGATAATACCTGTAGCAAAAACTAGCATTCAGGGCAGAACACATTTTTGTTATAAAATGCAACTGCTGTTACAAATGTACATCTTGATAATACTGTGTACACCGTTTTTTCTCTAGAGTCATTGCCATTGTAATTAGGACACTTCTAATGCATTCTTGCAAGTTTATAGAGTTTCAAAAGACTTATGCACTTAACTATATTGGATGTGCAACTTTAATGAGTATAATTATGATTTGTTCATTCTGCTGGTAACAGAAAACTAATTTGGAAAACCCCATTTTAAAAAATACTGCCCTGCTGTCAGAGTCTAGTTCACCTTATTTTTACTCCTAGAGAAAGACATACTGAAACTCACTAAGAATTTTATCAATAGGCATAATTGGTAGGGCAATTAATTGTGTAATTATTGTGTAACACTTATGTAATAATGAAATACATTTTCAAGGCTACCTTTTGTGTTCCTGGATCTATTCTGTACTGATTTGTCATGTTTAGCTGTTGGTCACAAGCTACACAATTTTCTGGGATTCACTCAGGTTATCTTCTTTATTTTAAAAAAATACCACTTTCATTTCCACAAGGAAGCCAAACTGTTTATATCATTTGTTTCTCATCTCAAATCTGAGGCGTGTGCTTTCAATAAATTTCTGCTGTTCATTACTATACCTAATTATAAAATAGAGGATCATTCTAGTCTTAAATGTTAAAAGTATTTTTAGAAAATGCTTACGATAAGTTGGAATGAAATTAATTGCACTTTATTGAATATTTTCCTGAAAAATTCATAAAAATGTCAAATACTGATATTCTGGTGCTTAAATATTTTCAGTATTTTATAACTTGTAGTCATATTTTCTATGTGAAATTTAGTAGGTATTTTCTATTTTAATACGTTACTGATGAATAATTCAAATTGTGAAATTAAGTTAGTGTTCACTGCAGTTATTTTAAAAAAAATTAATACATTTTCAAAGCTGTAACACTTTTCTTCCACTTCAGTATAATCTGTATTTAAAATGTAGCATTAAACAGCCTTTCACTATACCTGGTTTCGTTTTTGAAGAACTGGTTTTGTGCTATTTGCTTTATAGCTCGAGAAAAATTCTTTATGCATTATTAATTTACTTCAGTAGATTTGAGTGAAAAATAAACCTTAGTATTTAGATTGTTGGGCTATTACTTGGTGTGGTGTTTGAGCACAATGGGATTAAACTGTAGGTTTGTGACAGTACAATTTTTTAAAAGAATGAAGGTAAATGGGTTCCGTCATCTGACTCCTATTAATAATAAAAGAAATGTGTTAGATATTATAGTACATTATAGTTGGATTAGGATAATATTCCCATTTCATAAGTATATGTTAAGAAGTATGCAAAACCCTTCAAAATTTTTTTTAAAAAATATGGAGTATGACATTCCTGGAATGTTGTTCTCCATATTGGGATTCCTTGAGACGGGGGAAAAACTACTCTCTCTCTGCCAGTTTTCCCGTTCACTTTGCTTGTGGGAAGCTAGCAGGAAAAGTCACAAATGGCAATCATGGAACTGTAGAATACTGCAACTGTCATAAATGTGAACCAGTTACCAAGTGCCCAAATTGCAATTGTGACTTCAGGGTGCTGCAACAGTTGGAACTTCAAGGACCCGTCATAGGTACTACTCATGGAGTGTCTTAAATTTGTATAGTTTATTGAATGAGTGGTCATAACTCAAGCTACCTTCATTTTTAATCTTATATCATCCTGTGAACCTGTCAGTCAATTGTGGATTTAGTCATGAAAGCATGTTAGTTCAAACTATGTTTATTTAATATTTTTAGCTGGTTTTAAATCTCTTAGTTTTGTCTGCAGTCAGGAGATCATTGGATGTGGACAGTCAATAAATTTAAATGAAATAAATATCCTTATTACAAGGATATTTGTAGCAGCATATTTGTAGCATCACAATTGCATCATATGCTTAGGTTATAAGTGAATAAGCTCAATATTTCTCTTCTTTGCTTTTTTATATTCTTATTTCATAAAATATTTAAAATGAATTATTAAAAAGGGAAATGGGATAAAATGTGCCAGAAACAGAATTAGGTTAGTTTTGGTAAGTGACTTTACATGAAATTTAGCACAATGGGAAGCCTCCAAATGTCAATAGACTGAGTACCTTCTTTTACTCGAGAGTAAAACTCCTGAAATGATTGTTGCAATACCAGTTAAGTGCCTGATTGTAAACAAATGACTAAACAAATTTTTATAAAATGCCATTTCAGATACCTATTTTTAAATAATTGTCTTTGATACAATTAATACTTTATTCTGCTGCCAATCAAAGGAGTTGCATTATACAGTAATAAAATTTTTAAAAAGCACCGTAAGGATTAAGAGTTGTTTTTAAGAAAATTGATGTGTTTTGAGCCTACAACTTTTCTTCAGATATGCTCTCCTTTACCATTTTTACCATGATCCATTTTTAGAAAAATGAAAGAAAGTGGATGAGGGAAGTTTCTAAAATTAAACAGATGGCCCATGTAACACGTGGGGCTGAGAAGTAGGGTAACATGTTAAAAGGGCTTATTTATAAATGATCAAAATAGTAACAAAACAGGAGAGGTGGATAACCAAAAACTCTGTTAAGGGAACTGGATACACAGTAAGGGCTACCTTAAACATAATATATAAATAAAAACACTTATTGACAAAGAATAATTTTAAAAAGAATACACTTACCTGTGTACCCATGTTCAATTTCTATGTTTTTCTAAAAAAACTTCTAAAGGCAGTTTAAAGCAAGTTGAACACCTGTTCCACAAGTTCTGGGGAAATAAGGATTATCAGTTAAGAGTAAAAACAAACAGCAGGAACACACAGAAAGAGAGACAAGGAGAATAAAAGTAGATTGCCTATGTTTTCATTCATCTTGCTAGTATGAAACAACTGACAAATTGCTCAAAGGAGGAGCAAATCCAGTGGCAAAGGGATCTGTTTAGTAAAATTAATCAAACCTTCCAGAACATAGAAGCATAGCCAAGAAATAAGAACATGAAGAGAATGAATTATCTTCCTCTTTCTTCCATAATGTGCTGACTTGTTGGGTGGCACTAATATGTTTGAAGATTGCTGTTAGGTGAAATAATTGTTGATAATTAAAGAGTTGAAACTCAAGTAGTTGTAAGTAATTATGTCACTTCCTTTGGCAAAAGTAGAATCTCAAAAGTGTATTAGTGTCAATACTGTTGAAACAGGAAAAATTAAACTGTTGTAATGATTTATGAGAATGACCTTCAAGAAAAGGAAGAGATGTTGCCTGGCAAAAGATGGGAGCTCACCATTTTGTAATGGTCAGAAAGAAACCTAGGAAAGAGCAGCCATAATGGGCCAGGCAGGTAAAGCCACAGTGAAAGATTTGTACTTTCAGGTTTGAAAGATGGTATTAATGTAGTTCTTCAATAAATGTCATGTCTGGTTGTACTTTTGTCTGGTTTACCTGTGGACTGATAACTCTCAAATACTAGGTGAAACCATTCTTTTTTTTCATAGTAATAAGACTGAGCCAGGATCTCCAGTTTATTCAACAAGAATTTTAATGGTATTTGATCTCATCCTAGAATGCACATTTTAGGTTTGCATCTGAAAGTGATCCATCCAATTTGGCCAGGGCAAGTCAGCCTTTTTGTTCCAGGTAGAACTTAAAGCAGAAGGTGCATTTGTAATTTCCTGAAGGTAATGGAAATATAAATATAAAAGTATCAATAGAAGTTTCAGAAGTTATATGTGAACATCTAGAGACTGGAGAACAATTATTAAAATGCATTTGATTTTATCTTAAATTCCTACCATGATGTGTGGATGATACAATAATTAAGCAGCTATATGGGGTGACTAGAAAGCTAAACTCAAACACAGCATATGATGGTTCTAATGAAACTAAAGTGGAGTACAGCAATGACCTCAATACCACAACATTCATCTGCAGATCAGAAGCTTTCAGTAGGTGTATTATTGGATAAAAAGGTGGAGGGAATGCTGATCAATTAAGCAGATAGGATAGTTAATACCTTAGAAGTCAGAAATAAATTTCAAAACAATCATGGTAGTTCAGAGAAATAGGTGGCTAATTATAGGATGAGAGATGTTTGGCTCGGTGACAATATTAATGAAAACCCTTTTTCAATCACTGGAACAGAAGTTCAATGCAAACCAAATAAGAGTATGATGTAAAAAAGGTAAATGTGTTCCAACAATAGAAATATAGTTTCAAAATCACAGGGAGTAATAATTCTGTATTACTTGGTATACTGAAGTAATTCTTCATTAATCAGTATTGCATCAAGTTCTGGGCATCAATT